TGAAAATCTGTAAGGCTCAAAGGGAGGGCAGAGAGCTCAGGTGGGGAAAGCACCCGTGGGAAAGCCCACGGGTGGTTTTTCTGTTTGAGGCAGCCTTGGTGGCTGCAAAGGTTTTCCTTACCATTGGGCTACAGTGCTACCATTCTAAGGACCAATTTTAAAGATGTGATCAGAGAATTAACAGAGGAGGGAACCCAGCTCAGGTTTCAGATTGCCTTCAACAATCTCTCTTCTGTCTTGGAACCCTCCCTGCTCCACTGGCTGTGTGGAGCGTCTTCAGTAACAGCCCAATCCTCTTCTGCTAGTATTCTAAGGCCAGTGATGGCAGAAGCTACTTGGAGAGACTTTGGAGGAATGCTCAGAGAGGTGGCTCAGCTGCCTGATTGTGATCTAAAATCCTTCATGCTTCGTGTTGCTCTAGCTTCTGGAACCTGTTCTGCTTCTGGGTAAGGAGCGATTTGCTGGTGTGGACATCCGGGTCCGAGTGAAGGGTGGTGGTCACGTGGCCCAGATTTACGGTGAGTCCCAGGAATGGGGCACATGGGTGGAAGGTGGCGCTGAGAGCAAAGCCCTACCCTTGGGTGTTCACAAAGCTGATGTACCCTTTTTGTGTGTGTCTTCCTCACAGCAATACGCCAGTCCATCTCCAAAGCTTTGGTGGCCTATTATCAGAAATGTGAGTGAGGGTGGGTCCTTCCCGTCAGGTGGGTGGGGGCAAGTCAAGGACCACCTCTGGTATTTAGCCCCAGAGAGTGGAAGGACACTTCCTGGTTTATCTAAATCTTCATGCATCCTTTTATCCCCAGACGTGGATGAGGCTTCCAAGAAGGAGATCAAAGACATCCTCATCCAGTATGACCGGACTCTACTGGTAGCTGATCCCCGTCGCTGCGAATCCAAAAAGTTTGGAGGTCCTGGTGCCCGTGCTCGCTACCAGAAATCCTACCGATAAGCCCGTCGTGAAGATCCGGGTTCACCTTTATAATAAAGATGGTTGTGTGATTAAAGGTTTCAAGGGCTATGCTGTGGTCTTGTGTGGTGTGTCTTTGGCTAAAAGGAGTGCAAGAAACTACCCCAGCTCACTGCTAGTCTGGGTTTTGAGCCTTTCTAGAAGCTGTGACTCTAGAGTTAGGGTAGATAGGTGGGAGCAGACCTGGTTTGTTTCCCTGTGTCTCCAGTAGAGTCCAGTGTGAGGGCACAGGGGATAGGGGCTCGCCATTGGTCGTGTGGGGTAATCTTGTGGTTTGTCTTTTTTTTTTCCTTCAGTCCTTTTGTTGCTATTTTAATGACATGCAGAGAAGAGCAGGGGAAATGTGTGAGAGAATAATCTTTAATACAGAGTGAGGAGAACTGCCTGGAGTCTGAAGTCAGCGGCTAAGGGCCATCCGTGCCAATGTTGGGAAAGGAAGTTTTCTTTTTTTAAAGTTTCTTTTGGTGGGATAATTAGGTTTATCTTTATATTTTTTTAAATGGAGTTACTGGGAATTGAACCCAGGACCTCATGCTTGCTAAGCACACACTCTACCACTTGGGCCATACCCTCCCCCTCCCGAAAGGAAGTTTTCTTAATCCCAACCTGTAGTGTAGATAGGACTGAGAGCTGAGGGGGTGGGATGGCTGTAAGCCTGTTGTGGATGATTCCCCTTGCCTGGTTTCACCTTCAGGATATCAATAGTAACTCCTGGGAAAACCACCTGCCCCCATGGCCTCCTTAAAGCAGGTCCCAGTTACGGTCAGGGTGGTAACTGTCCTTATGGGCCTGAGGACGGGCTCATTTGTGTCTGCCATGTGGTAAGAGCTGACATAGCAGGCTCAGTTGCTACCACTGGACTGTGCAGATGATAAAGCATTTCCATCATGGAAGAAAGTTCTGTGGGATGGCGCTGGTATATGTATAGGGGAGTGAAGTATTGCTTGTGGATCACGTTGCCTTCAGTTTCTTTCCTCATTTTTATAGGAAGCTAGTGAGCATCATTGGAGTGACACGGGTCGGGGGAGGCGTCTGTGCGTCCCATACCAGCCTTTGCACCCACCCTGGACACAGCCATCTGCCCCCCAGTGGGGTAGGTTCCACACTACTCCCCGTGCTGGGAATGCCAACAGGAACTTCATTACACACTCGAATGTTGATCAAGGGATAGTTTCACCAATTTTCTTTATAAAAGAAGGAACTTAGGGTTTACTGATTCACTGCCCATTGTGTGTATCTGCCCTACCTGACAGAGTAGGCACGTGTAGGCACTGCGCAGATGAGGATGTTGCTGTGGTCAAGGAAGGTTCCACGGGAGACACTGATGTACAGGGAATGCCTACAAATAAAGTGCTTACAGATGGAGAGTGGGTTGACTGGGCTCTAACAAGATGCCAGGCTAAGCACTGTCGGACTTAATATTCCCGTGAAGTCGTCTTGTTAGCGGGGGAGAAAGTTCAGCCTGGTGGCAAAATAACCACCACACCAAGTTTTGCACTGGAGCTGGAGTTAACTCGGGTTAACTAAGTTTGGCTGGCATTAACCCAAACACCCCAAGGAGGGCAGCAGTTTCCCAAAGGTGGCAGTGGGCAGCCGCCCTTACTTACCCTTTCCAAGCCTGTCTTAACTGTAGCTCTAAAGACCAAGCTTACAAAAGGCAGGCTGTAGTAGAGCAGCCAGAAACGTCTTCCTGAGGAGGCGTTGGAACTGGGGCCATGAAGCAGAGGTAGGAGTCGGGCTGGCTGGCGGGAGGAATGGAATTTAAGGGCAGGGACCAGGGGGAGGGGTTGAGGCAAAACGAGTGCCCATGGTTTTCCCACAGGGTCCAGAGACCCCCTTATGGAGGCTTCTGGCTCCCTCCCCGAGGCACAGCTGGGGCACAGCTGGAACACATCTGGAGAGGCCGAGGGGGCTCGCCTCGCCTTCTCACTCCAGGCCTTGGAGTAGACAGTCCCCTTCTCCCTCCCGGCCGCCTCCTTAAATACCGGGAATTCCGACGCTGCTGGGAGCCCAGGCTGGGCTGGGAACTTTCCTTCAGCTGGGAATGTGCAGCTGGGGGTGGCTGGGAATGTGCAGCTAGGGGTGGAGGCGGGGAGGGCCAGCCTCAGCCCTGACCTCCGGAGGCTGCAGTGGAGCAGGTCCAGGCTGCAGAGCCCGACTGGGCCCGGGCCCTGGTGTGTGACGTGGTAAACACCCAATAACTGAACAGAAGCCAGCTACTAACGTTGAGCCAGGCCTTGCTCTTTTACCTAGCTAATTAATCAACTACCTAGGGCCTTGGGAGCACAGGGCTGCAAGTCTTAAGTGGGCAAGGAATTGTTCTCTGTTGTGCTCCCAGTGGCAAGAACAGTGCCTGACACAGGACAGACACTCGAGTAAGTGAAGACTCAGGCTTGGCTGCGTGGATGAGCCCCAGTTCTGCTCCTTCCCACCTGTGTGACTGGGCAAGTGAGTCCCTTGTCCTCTCTGTGCCTCAGTTTCCTCATCTCTAAAGTGGAGATTAAAAGCCATCCTCACTTGCCATTTAGGGATATTGTGAGGACTCAAAGAGAATGAGCTTCAGAAAAAGTGACTAATGCTTGGGGTATGCAGTTAGTACTCAATAACAGCATTTTTTTGGCTGTTAACTGTTAAAATTTCAGATTCTTAGGGTCCTGCCTTGGAGGTTCTGATTCCATGGGCTGGGACATCTGTGATTTGAACAGTGCCCTAGTGAGTCAGGCTCAAACACTTGGGAAGTGAGGATATACTCAGGGAACCTTTACAACAATCCTACATGGCAGATACTGCCATCCTCATTGTACAGATGAGGAAACTCAGGCTTGGAGGAAGGGAAGTTACACACCAAGTCCTAGAAAAGTTGGGACTTGAACTCAGCTGTAATGCTATGGTGTCTCCTCAGAATGCCAGGGAAGATCCTGAGATGATGTGCTAAATCACAACATGTTAAGTGTTCAATGAAAGAAGCTAATCTTACTGAAGAAACTGCTTAAACTGTGCTTTTCAATGGCCACTGCTGGGAGTGGGAGAGAACGATCTTAATATAAAAGCCTTTGTTTGTCTCTAAGACCTGAATTACTTTTGGGGGGTGGGGCACACTGAGGTACTGTAGAGGTCCCAAGCTAGAGATGGAGTAAAGAGATCTGATGTGTGTGCGGGTAGGTCCAAGAATTGCAGTATTCAGGAGGGTGGAGAGTGGTTGCTAAGAGCAGTAAGACAGATGTGGGGTATTTTTCCCAGAATCCCAAACTTGATCCATTTTGGCGTTAGCATGGAACTGTCTCTGAAGTTTTGTAGTACCAAGACCCAGAAAAATCTAATTAATGAGGAATGGATAGAGAGAGTAAAGGGGGTGGAAGGATAGTGGTACAGATGGTGGTAGGATGGTTGGCTTGAAGGGTTAGGAGATGGCTGAGTGATGAGAAGCATGAATGAATGGACAGAGATGGAAATATGGAGGAACAAATGGATGAATGGAGAGTTGGCTGGAGAAGATGGACAGGTGGGATAGTAGATGGATGAATGGACTGATGAAGGAATGGATGCTAGATGGGAGTTTGGATGAGGGGTGAATAGGGTAGAGATGGTTGAGTAAAGCAAGACATGGGTAGGGGTTTGGGGGTACATCCCAGTGGTAGAGTACATGCTTGACGTACACAAGATCCTGGGTTTTATCCCCAGTGCCTCCCTTAAGGAAGGGAAAAAAGACACATGGGTGGGATGAAGGATTAGAAGACACACAGAGAGGGAGAGAGAGAGAGATGGAGAGACAGTTAAATGAATAGGTAGAGATGGCTGAGCAGATGAGATGAATGGATGATGGTGGGACCCATGAACTAGATAAATTGCTGACGGAATGAATTTCTAGGGGTCTGCTTGGAACAAAGCATCTTAACTTGGCTGTCCTGGATGGGCACCAAACAGTTCATTAACCCTCTGAAATCATACACCAAATTGCAATGGGTCCAGTTTCCAATAATTCTCAAAGGTGTCTGCGATTCCCCAAATTTTCAAAATGACTGATTTGTGCTGCAATTCCTTCCCATTCATTGTTGTCTTCTATCATCCCCCACTGCCTCCAGAATGGGAAAGACACATAATTTCAAAATATTAATAAACAAAATATTAATGACATCCCCTTTCCCATCCCTGTTGAGTTAATCCAGATAAGTAATAAGGACCATTCACCAAGGAGCTGGGGAGTTGGAAAGTTGCAGCAATTTTCAGACGTGTGTTCAGTGTCTGGACTTCTAGGTGAATTCTGAGGGTCTGTGGCATCTAGTTGAAGTCTTTGCTTTTCAAGAAGCCCAACATCCTGGCTCACATGTGGAAAGGGGCATCAGGAGCCCCCTGGGCTCTGCGAAGGCCCACAGATTCCTGGGAGGGTGCCAAGAGGGCAGGGTGGTTCAACCTGACCTGGGCTTTGGCTGGTCGTAGCCGCCCACCACCCCCGACTTGGATGTTGACCGTGGTGGCATAGCTGAGCCTTCTGGCTGGGGGCGGTGGGGGTTGGGGCTGGGGTGGCGGTGAAGGTGCCCGTGATGTGGGGGCAGAGGAGGACCAAGGGCCCCGGGAGGCCAGGAAGGCCTCTCCTCCAGGCCCCTGCCGTCGAGCCAGGCTCTGGCTGATGTATGAGGCTGCCAAGTATCTCGAGAGGGCAGCTGCGTTGGGGCCCAGGAGCTGACGGGTTGGGAGTGGGGGACTATGGGGTGGGGTCAAGTCTGAAGACCCTGGCCTGGCAACAGGAGGGACTGAGTGGCTGCCTGGTTTGGACAAAGCCACGGTGGTCTGAACTGGGGTGGGGAACACGCCCTGACTGTCCCGGGGACCTCCTTGCTCAAGTAAAGGTGTGGCAGCTGGAACGTGGACGTCTGTGGGATTCTTCTGTTCCAACAGAGGTGTCAGATTTTGAACCTGGAGGTCTGTGAGGCTATGCTCCTGCAGCAAAGGCATGGCAGCTGGACCCTGGATGTCTGGGAGGCCTCCCTCCTGCGGCAAAGGTGGGAGGGGTTGGACCCGGGTGTCCATGAGGCCCTGTGGCTGGGGCAAAGGTGTGGCAGCTGGAACTTGAAAGTCTGGGAGGTCCTGGGGCAAGGATAACGGAGAATTGGCTGGGATCTGATGGTCTAGGTGGCTTCCATGAGCAGGCAAAGGACAGGTCCCCAGAACCTGAATGTCTGGGAGGTCAAGTTGCGAGGGCAGTGGGGTGTCAGCTGGGATCTGACGGTCCAGGCTGCTTCCGTGTGTGAGCAAAGGGTTGATGGCTTGGCCACAGGCAGTGGCTGAAAATTGAACATCCCTGGAACCCCCTTGCTTAGTTAATGGGGTGTTGGTTGGGCTCTGGCTGTCCAGGCAGCCTTCTTGCTTGGCCACAGGAGTGGTGGCTAAAACCATGACATCAAGATAACTTTCTTGCTTGGGCAAAGCTGTGGTGGCTGGATCTTGGATGTCTACCTGGTGGCCTTGCTCAGGAAAAGAGGTGGGAGATGGAACCTGTACATCCACTTGGCTTCTCTGCTCAGGCAGAGGAGGGGTGGCAGCTGGAACCTGAATTTCCATGTGGCCTTCTTGATCAGGCAAAGTTGTAACAGCTGGAACCTGGACACCTGGGGAGTCTTCCTTTGAGGGCAAACGTGTGGTGGCTGGAATCTGGATATTCCAGAGGCTTCCTTGTTCAGGCAGAGGGGTAGGAGCTGGAACCTGGATGTCCAGATGGTCTTGCTCAGGCAAATTTGAAACATTTAGACCCTGGCTGCCCAGGCAGCCTCCCTGCTTAGTCAAGGGTGTGGCAGCTTGAACCCGGGTAGCAGGGCTTAGGGGGACAGATTCCTGGGCACAGGTCAGTGGGAAGGCCAGCTCACATACCAGCACGTGTCCAAAGGCAGGAAGGGGCCCTGCATATAAAGAAAGGTGGATGAGTTAGGACCAATACCCTCTGTGGGCCACCTTTGCCGACCACACACCTGGCCCTCACCTGGCTCGGCCTGCTCGTGGGGCAGGCAGGGCAACAGCTGTGGCTGGGCCAGAGCCCGTGGACGGCGGCGGGGGGCGTTGGCCGATGCCCGGGTCTCTGCCCGCTGCATCTGCTGGATCCGCTCGCTGTAAAGCCGGGCCAACTCTCGCACACGAGACGCCGACCTCTCTGAAGCTGGGGCTCCTGCCTTCCCACTTCTGCTGCCTCCACTCAGATCCGAATCTTCTAGGATCAACAACGGCTCTGGGAAACCTGGCCGGGCCAGCTGTCCCTGCTCCAGTGCCCGCCAGGCACTCCGGATTTCTGAGCAAGAGCGGAACTCCAGCTCATCTGGGAATCCCTGATCTGGGGTGACATGCCGGGGTTGGAAATCGGGGAATGATACTCCTTCATCCTCTTCTTGCTCTGCCCTGCTTTCTGAGGAGGATTCTTCCAGTTTTCCAGAACTGCTCCCAGGGAACAGTTCTCTCCTGGTGGCTGGAGCCTCATCCGGCTCCTGCAGAGGTCCCTGGAGCCAGGAGTCACAGGGGAGGGCAGGAGCGCTGGAAAGGCTGGGAATGTCGGGGACACTAGGTATGGCTGGAAGGCAGGGCATTTCAAAAACACTGGAAATGTCAGAGAGGCTGGGAAGGCGGGGAGTTTTGGGTATTTCAGAAAGGCTGGGAATTTCAGGGAGGTTGGGTACATCAGGATCTTTGGAAAGGCTGGGAATGTCGGGAATTTCAGCTGCACTGGAACTTTCGAGCCCCTCTAGGACGTGGAGTGGGGAAGGCCCCCGGTCGTCCATATCCAGCTCTTCCTCCTCCTCCTCTTCTGAAGAGTCCCGGCTGGGCAGGGCTTGAAATGTGAGGGTATCGCTGTCGTCCGGCACCTGGGTGTCGCCGGGGAACTTGGGGATGTCGTGGGAGGATGGCTGTAGTGGGCACTGAGGAAGAAGCCAAAGATACCAGGGTAGGCTGGTCCCCCCAACCCTCAGTCGGCCTGCCCAAGCCGAGAGCCCCAAGGACACCATGATGGGATGCCTGGCTCACCCCTGGATCCCGGAGGCCCCTCTGGTTCAGCAGTTCCAGGATCTCTTCAGTGATTGAAGTCCCAGAGGGATCCAGCGTCGGGGGTCCAGTGTCCTCCAGGTCCTCAGGGGCTCCAGAAGCTAAAACTGGTGGCTGAGGCTCTAAGGGCGGGAAGAGCTCCCCATCGCTGCCAGTGTGCTGTGAGGAAGGAAAGAAAAGAGGGCAGGAGTCGAGGGCCCCCACCCCCTCCTCCCTCAGACGGAGGAATCCGATCCCCAGCCCCCTTCTTCTTCAGGCCCAGGACTTTGGAACTCAAGCTCCCTCCTCCATCAGAACCGGGAGTCCAGTCCCCAAACCCTGTCCCAGGATATTTCTCACCTTGAGTCTAGGCTTAGCTGGGGATGACGAGATGAGAAAGAGAAAAGAGTGAGATGTAGGAACACGTGTTATTCCTTATGATTGATGAGCTGCCCCTATCACCCCTCCCTCATGAACACAGGGCGTCCCGAGGGAAGAGACGGACAGAGGGATGAACCAGGCTGGGCTGGGTGCTCACTCACCATTCTGTGGGAACATGACATAGGGGTCCTTCAGAGGCTCTGAGGGGAGGACACAGTGATGTCAGGGGTCAGCTCTGACCCAACACCTGTCTCACTTTTAGGTGGCGGGTACTCACCAGACTGTCTGCGGCCACGGCGGGTAGTGGCGGGTCCTGGAGATGAAGCTGTGGGAGAGGCAGATCAGAACCCTGCTATGAGCCAGCTCCAGGCTCCTGGGGGACAAGGGAGCTGGGAGGACCATTCCTAAGTCCTGGGGGAGGGGCTCAGGGGTCCATCTCCTTTACCTGTGTTCCTCCGTCCAGGGGTGAAACTTCTAGCATCTCGAGGTTGGGGAGACCCAAGTGGGGGCGTCAGGGGCTCTGGGATAGGCTTACTTTTAGGAGCACCTGCAGGGAGAGATTTAGGGCTAATAATCTACTTTTTCTTGGACGTGATTCTTCTACTTCCACATCCTCCCCAACCCAGGCCCCAACTCACAGTGCAGGCTGTTTTCAAGGAGAACTTGTTTTGCCTGAAAGAGACAATGGTTGAGGGGGCTGGACCCTGAGCACCCCAGTCATGGTCCCATTCATGGGTGCTGCTCTGTGTCATGTGCGTTAATGACTAATCCTCACCACGACCCTATGAGGCCGGTGCTATTATTCTTCCAGATGAAGAAACTGAGGCCAGAGAGATTAAGTTACTTGCTGAAAGTCACATGGTGGAGCTGGGATTGACACCCAGGCAACCTTAACGCTGCAATTTAACAACCACGTTCTGAGACTGCCTCCCTGCACTCAAAATCTTTTTGTATTATTGGGGTGGGGGGGTGGGTGTCCAGCACTCTGAGGGCCCCCAGTGGTGGCAGGAGGTGTACCTTGGCAGGGATGGAGGCAGGGTGGTTCTCAAAGAAGAGGCGCTGGAGACAGTGAATCCACAGCCTCTTCTCTTCTTGGTTCTTGGCCTGGAGTTGAGGGTGGAGTGGGGAGCCAGGGGTGAGGGTGGAGAGGGGAGCCAGGGGTGAGGTCTCAGGGCTGGGGGGAACCCTGCCCACCCAGCCCCAACCCATGCTCACCTGGAGCAGGTGTCGGTGCTTGGGGATGGTCAGATCGGACACCTTGAACCCTAGAGGGTCTCGAGGACTCTCGCTCACACTCAGGTTGCAACACTGGGTGAGGGGCAGAGACAGGAGGCAAGCTCAGAGGCCTCAGACTCATCCACATGCCTTCGTGTGCATCCGTACCCCTGCCCCCTACAAAGATGGCCCCCTTTCCCTCTGTGGACCCTCCCCACCAGGCTAGGCTCAGCCCTCCCTCACTAGCTCTCCCACCATCCTCTGGATCAAGAAGGTGTGCTTCCCCCATGTAGAGGCTTCCTGGTGGCCAGATCCAGGTTCTCCCCTCCAGGCCCTCCCAGCTCTGCATCCCACTGGCCTCACCTCTCAAACCCTGCCTCCATCCTCGAACTCAAGAAAACGTGTTCCTCTGAAGCTGGATGGTCCCTCCTTGCAGACCCCGCCCCCAGCCACATCATTAGGTATACAGGTACAAGTGTATAGAAGATACCGTGCTGGTAACATTCTGGCCCTGCCCCCATCCCCAAACTCACGAAGATGTGGCCCTTGTAGGTATATTCTGGCCCCCGGCGCTTGGCCACGAGCAGCATCCGTGAGAATAAAAAGAGCAGCCGTTCACCCCCTCGAAGTCGGGGGCCACTCCCTCCACCACCTCGAAAGGCGCCCTCCAGCACCAGCTCCCCGAAAGCACTGAGCTCCGGACCGGTCCAGCCACCCAGCCGCCGCTGCACCTCCTGCCAGGACCGCATCAGGCACAGCAGGCACAGAAATACACCGGTGGGTGGTGCACACACACCAAGACAGAGGCGTTAGCTACCGGTCCGTGCTGTCCCAGCCCACCCAGTGCCTTGGTACTGACCACCCTGGGGTCACCTGGAGGCGCGCAGCATGCTCCTGTTTGCGTTTCATGTCGTTGATGTACCAGGCGACCGCTGTCATGGACACAATAGCCTCCTCCACCGTCTCACGGCCCCCAGTGCCCGGGCCCTCTGCCCAGTGCTTGCCAAGCTCCTGAATTCAGGGCAGCCACCGGGCACCCAGGGAGGGAAAGACAAACAAAAGAAGAAAGAATGACAATGATAGACGAGAAAGAGAAAGAGAGAGAGAGAGAGAAAGGCAGGAACAGAGATGGAGACCCAGAGATGGAGAGACAAACAGGCAAAGACAGGAAGTGAAATCAGCTGGGCCAGCCCCCATGGCCAGCGAGACCCTTCCCCAAACTCTGGCCTAGTTTCTAGGCACTAGAGGCTTCCCCAGGCCTTGCCCAGCTTGTCCAGTGTCCACCCTCCAGATGCACCACCAGGTGGCCAATGGAAAGAGCTATGTCCCTCCCCAAGCAGCCCCCTAGGGGCCACAGCTGACCTGCAGCAGCAGATGGTACTTGAGGATGCGCTGAACAGGTTTCAGCAGGAAGCTCTGCAGGGGCAGGGAGTGGCGGAGCTGGGCCTGGCGTTCCTGCAGCCACAGGGCTGCTGGTGGAGACAGCGACAGCTCCCGGAGCAGGGCCAGGGAGCTAGGGGCACAGCACAGGTCAGGGGGACTAGAGGCTCCAGTGGGCAAGGCTGGGAGGGGCTGGGGAATGGCCGAGGTTTGGGAACCTTCAGGGGCCGCCAGCGGTCAGGGGCTGGTTAGGGAGAGGGCAGTTACTCTCATGGTCTAGTGGGGGCTGGAGCTGGCTGGCTGGGTTGGGGTGGAGGGAGACTGGCTGGCACATCAGCTCGTGGGCCCAGCCTGGGGTCCAGCAGGGGCTCCTCGCCCCTCACCTCGGGTAGTTCATGCAGTACAACGTGTAGATGTCAAAATCCTCACTCTGTGGGCAACAAGGGAGTCAAGGAGACCTCAGTTCCCAACTCCCCACAACCTGCCTCCCCACCCCAACCCATGCCTTGCCCAGGCCTGGTCTCCCTTCACCCAGGCCCCAGCCCAGGCCCTCAACTCACCCTCTGCACGAAGCACTCGGCAATGCCCCCGGCACTGCTGCTGCTCTCCAGGTCCTCCAGGAGCTCACTGAGGGGGAGAGAGGCCAGGTGAGGGACTGCCCTGGCCTCCGTGGGCCCCCATGGGAGGATTCCATGAGACTGCAGTCTCAGTGGCTGCCAGGATCTTTCAAGGGGGTGTCATGTCCAGACAAAAGGTACTCTGATTGCAACATGGGAGATCGCAACCTGCTCAGACTTTGTCCTGGGTCAGCACAATGTTCCTCAGGCTGAAACCCTGTCACAGCTGGCATGAGCCTGGGGGTCTCATGTCATGACCCAGGGAGATGTGTGTCAGGGTGTTCAGAACTATGATAACTTTAAGATCCTACTGTGACCCTTAGGTCTTGTCACAACTCACAGACATCCTGCAATAACTTTAATTAAGCATCTTTAAGACACTCAGGTGTCATGATCCTTGGATTTCAGCCTCCTCCTCATTGGGTGGCCAACCATCCTGGTTTGTCTGGTACGGAGGGTTACCCTGGGATGAGGTGGTCACACAAATGTTCACACTGTCACGATCCTCGGCCCCACCTAAGTCTTGGATTCGCTGCAATCCCAGACCCACGCTAGACCCATCTCAATGCCTGGACTCATCCCAGCATTTGGACTACATCTGGGTCCTCAGGCTCCTATCTGCCTCACTCTTCCACCACTCTGGACTTTCACTCCCCTTTATGATCTCTGCTCAACTGTACAACACCCCCATGTTCTAGCCTGGACAGGGTGCTATGGGGCTCCCAGGTTTGAGTTAGAACAGAGCCTGCCTCCCTGAACACCCCCCTCCGCCCCAGCCAGTGCCCTGCCCATCCCACCCGTCCCTGACCTGCTGAACTCGTAGATGTCCTCGATGTTGGCAAATAGCGTGCCCACCTGCTCGGCGCTCAGCCCCAGGACCCCGCCGTTCAGCAGAGGGCCCAGGTAGTCCTGTGGGGATGACTGGGGTTACGAGGGTGGAGGCGCTGGCTGAGGTCCCCCACTGCACTCGGGGACCTGCCCACCTCACCTCCACGATGTTGCGGAGGTCCCGGACATAGGCCCGCTCTGTCTCCACAATCTCGCGGGCCACACGCTCCAGCCTCGAGGGTTTCGCTGAACCGGGGGTCCCCACAGGTGACAGATGCAGGCGGATGGGGGGCCCTGGAAGGGGCTCCGGCCTGGAGGCTGAGCAGGCTGGGGCGGGCCCTGGGGCCGGGTCCCCCTCAGAGCCCACTGTGCTCAGAGATGTGGAACTTCCAGAACCCCGGGGGGAGGCCATGGCGGGGGTGGCAGGGGCTGCTGGGGGTGTGGAGCAAGAAATCAGGGGGTCTTTCCCCACACACTCCCCCACCCACCCCTGGTCATCCACCTCTCCCATGGGTTCCCTTCTCCCCCAAATGCCCTCCCTGCGTCCAGCCCTGTCCTCTCCCATGAGGGTCCTCTCTGGACTTCTGGCCTCCATTCTTCCAATCTCCCTCCATGTGTCAGTTTGGGAAAGCTTTACAAATTCACCTGTCTGACTCACTCCCATAAGTATAACCCATTCCTGCCCTCAGGGATATAATCTAAACTACTCAGGTCCACAGGGCCCTGTGCAAGGTGGCCATTACAGACCTTTCCAGTCTGTTCTCCTCCCAAGCCACACCACCTTACACTCTGGACTCTAGTCACACTCAAACTTCTTTCAGTTACTTAAATAAGTAGCCCCGTCACCTCTGTGCTCTTGCACATACTGTTCCCTCTGTGAGGAGGTTGGGGGACCGGATGCCAGGGTCCTTGCCTCTCTCAACTCATTCCTCCTCATCTTTCAATTCTCAGTTTAGATATTCCCTCCTCCAGGAAGCCTCCTTTGACCTCCCAGACTGGTTTCCCATAGCCTCCTGGGCTTTCTCCATCCCAGCTCTGGCCCCTCTGTGCTGGGCTTCCCAGTCTGGACTATCATGGTCTGGGAATGGGTCCGTCTCCCCACCAGATGTGGAGCTCTGTGCAGGCAGGGCTGAGGGTGCCTTGGTCAGCCTGTGTTGCCAGCATTGCCCAGCACTGGGCCAGCCCCAGAGGGCTGCACAGTGTCTTGAGTGATGCCCGGCAGACTCCCACCCTCCCTCGCAGGCTCACCTGTCTGAGTCTCACACACAGCTGCACAGTCACAGGCTTCACCCCTGCGGCCAAGGCTAGGGCTGGGTTTGGACAGGCCCAGTCCACGGGCTCCCTCAGGCATGGCTGAGTGGATCCGCAGCTTCTGCAGAAAGACCCCCTTCTTGGATATCAGGACCCCATAAGCCTCCTTGCCCCCCCCCAACTCACAGACTAGGGGCTGAGAACTAGGAGTGTGGTCTAAATCCAGGGAGGGGGTCCTGGGAGTAACTAAAAAGGGAGACAGAGACAAAGTGACAGAAGGAAAGGGACAAGGAGCTTTAATACTGAAAAAAGATGGATGGAAAGGACGAGACAAAGGAGAGTGAAGCGAGCAAAAGAGTCGCCGAAGCCCCGAGTCTAGTGTGTCTGGGGCCGGAGGTTCAGGGATCCTGGGAACTTTTGGGCTCTGGCTGGAGCCGAGGGCCAGGGGCAGGGCTGGGAAAAAGCCGTAGGCGGGAGGCCGCAGGGTCCCAGGGGAGGGCGGAGGAGGCTGGGGGACCGGATGCCAGGGTCCTGCAGACGGCTCCCTCCCCCGCGAACGGCTGCGAGCTAGGGCGCTGGCCCTGAGTCCTCGACCCCCTCCAGCCAGTCCCTCCGCGATCTGCTCACTGTCCCCATCGCCGCAGCTCCCGCCGAGCGCCTCCCTACACCCCTCTAGCCCCCAACTCCCGCCGGCGCCTCCGCTCGCCCCCGCCGGCACGCCCCCTATTGTTCAGCTGCAGCGGCGCCGCCCCCTC